GTTACTGTACGGAGCCACGTCAAGCCAATGGAAAAACGGCGTCATAAAATAGAACACTACAACCGCCGCTGACCGATCTCGTCGCAACTTTTTTCATCTTTTCACCATAGCGGTCAGCGCAAACATTGCACACCCTACATGAATCGATCAGGTTTTATTACCTGATCGGAATCGGATTTTACATTTTCAGAACTTAAACTTCGGCTGTACCTCCTCCAAAATTTCGACCCCCCTCCGTCCCTATTCTCTCCAGCGGGCGTTCCCAGCGAAATAAGTAGATGCCAATTAGATGCCAATATTTGAGCAATACTCGAGAATTTTTTCTGAGCTTTCCCATTTTTCTATGTGGGACCCCAGATCCCTATTTTTTAGGAAACCCCAGATCCCTATTTTTCAGGAAACGCTCAATCTCAATGTGTATAATTTGTTAAACTCCACCCACCTCCCACTGATTTACATGGGCCCTCCAGTCATCGCACCAGCCCCAAATACCTCGTGAGGATAGGAGGGCTAAAAATGTTTAGATCTCTTTTTTATCCATTTAGATCATCCCGTGTGGTTCCAATGCACCAAACCAAAACCCATTCGGAAGGACTCGATTGCTATAGACTAAGTTTGATGTATCCAATGGCGAGAGGAAGATGCAAAACCTTTAGACGCCTCTTTTAATGCTATTTTAAGAAAAACAATGAAAAAAAACGAACCTTTTTGGATCTAGCGCCCTTATTCGTTCCAAAGAGATTTCCAAATGAGAACGTATCCGACCCAGTTTTCGTCTTTTTCTTTTCAATCCTGTCTCCTGCCCTAAAATAATCGTTAAATCAAAACCGTATTAGGCACTAAACAAGGATGACCGGGTACAAAAGGGGTGTTAGCACCTGGACATGTTACATACGGTGGATGGCAGGAAGAAGCTAAGCGCTTTTTACAACAGACACGAGTCAGGACAATGACAGTCTGTTACAGTAATTAAGGCGTTCCTAGCAGGATTATTTGTTGGTTAAAATCACAAAGCAATATACCAAATGACTCACGACAATAACGGTCTGTCGTTACAAGCACATTGTGGTGCACTACTAAAATGTAAGACTGCCACAAAAACTGACACAGACTATTGATTCATAAGAAAAATTATTGACGCTTTATGGCTTTTGTTGTGAGCACAATAGCGAGCGGTCAGGCAGAACGGACAAAACAAATACACACGGTTAGACGATCCGTCGTTTAAAAAATTTACGATCTTCGTCTTCTAGATTGACAACTTATTCTAAAATTCACCATCAAAGAGCTGGGATGAGTTTACAAATTAAAACACCCTCTGGAAAAACCAGAGATTCACTCAGATGTTTCCACAGAAGATGTTACTTCTAGCAACAGGCCAGAAAAAATTTAAGTTTGCCCCCAACAATTGACGAAAAGGAGAACAGTGGACTTGGCCTTTGCCTTTCGAGTTAGATAGAGCATCTTTTCTCGATCTGATCTCATTCCTTTCTTTGAGCTTCGGATATATCAATCTTCCAACTTCCCCTTGAGGATTACTCCTTCCGAAAGTTCAAGTCACCTTCGTCCCTTTGGCAAATTTAAAAGCTTTATTTCAAAAAATTGAGTGATCAAAGGCAAGAATAAGCTAAACAATGACTTTTAAAGTTGGAGCACTTTCTGAAAAAAACAAATTCGACAGATTCACAAAGTTTTCTCTACAGAAGGGGTTTTTTCTACTTATAGCCCCGAAAAAATTGAGTTCGATTGAAAAATTAGGTGACTAAAGCTAAGAGAAAAGTAAATTGGCGAGATTCGAAGCCAAAACTAAGTCCCAAAACTAGTTCCCCTAATCAAAAAAGAGAGGATGTTGTAGGAGTGCAAAACTCAAAACCATGAAGCGCAAGGGGCTTGAAGCGATCGTTCTCTAAAAATAGCAGTTCAATGATCACAACAATTAAGCACCGTTTAGCATAGCTGGCCATAGCTGGCAGTTAAATTGCACGAATAATTATCCGTCTTCAATCTCAATCGGATATTATTGTGTTGTCCCTGCCTTTGATGATTACTTTACTAAAGAGGGGAGCCCAAACTCCCAAGCTCACCAAAAAAAGAACGAAACTCATGAAAACTGAAGATCGTAAACATAAAAGCGACAAGATTCGCCACCATAAAAGGGCCATAGTCAGCCCCATTGTGGCAATTTATCGCGCAAGCCTAATGCAAACTGTTCAAACATTGGACATAGACAGGGAAACAACTACAGGGGTCCGGTACAGGACTGACCACATAGAAGGCGGACAATCACCACGAAATACTGCGAATGCTGCGAATACAGAAAACCCAGCTGAACAAGCGCTTTTTGACATGCGATTAAGAACTTTTGCGATATGACGTGGACATGCGACTTTCAGATCATTTCGTCTACAGCGATTTGCTTGTGCATTGCTTGTGGGCATAGCCTTGTCTGTTTTCAGCCAGCCATAAACTCATCATCATCATCATCATCATCATCGGACCACCAACCTCGATTTATTATGGTGCGCCGTTGTCCGTTGGCGTATCGGTACGGTAGCCACACGTCGTACCGATTTGACAGCGGCTACGTCGCACTCATCCAGTTGCACCATACATGCACAATCGATTGACGACTGTACGTGAGGCGGAGCGGCCGCCGCCGTATCGCATGCGCCGACTGTGTCCAACGAATGAAACATCGGGGCGTCTAGGGAATCGCGTCGCGAATCGCCCGCAAGACGACGCAGACTTCGTCGCATGAAACTCATGCCACGGGAAAACGAGGCCGCTGTACTCGACGATGGTGGAGATGTCGTCGCATTGTCGCTAGAAACTTCGAAGATAGGCAAAGCGTTTTACAGAATCATCGCAAGCGCAATATGAATAGAGTTTAAAGAAATCCTCATAGGTGGGAATGTAGGATGGCGCTCATCAAAAGAAAAATCGAGGAAATGATGATCATGAACAAATAGCAAGCGATTTCAAAGCAAATAGCGCAGCGAAACTGTACAAATCATAAATGTTAGAAAGTCACAAAAATCCCACCCAGCAAGAGAAATTAGAAAGGTTGCAAACAGAAAAGAAAATTTTCCCACACGAATTTCGACCACCACAAAACAGACAAGTACACACAATTCAGTTGGTAAAAAGCACCACAAATCTAATCGGGAAATCGACAAAGAAGAAAACGACACCACATTCCCTTACATGGGGGAAAACAGAAGAGAAAAAACGTAAACGAGAAAAAAATTGACGTACTTTTCATTACGATTCACAGATTGCGGGCGTGAAGCCGTTAAGACTGGCTCCTTTCGCATCTGCACCGGCGTCTGAAAAGGGAAGGAGAACTTTCTCTCCATAGAGCCTTTGAACTACTTGACATTCTCAGCTACTCGACAGGAAAGATTAAAGATAGAATGAAAAAGGGATCTAGCGGCTAGATTCGCCTTATTGAGATTAGAATCCAGTTTACAAGAGGAATAAGTATGGCTTAGCAAAATATCCCTATGATATCACTCACTATGATTCCCCGATATTCTCGTCCTTAAAAATCTTGTTTATATATCTCTGTATTTCAAAGAATTACCTAAAAGGTTCATTAAAGTTTGCAGAAATAGTTTTGGAAAAAANAAAAAATAGCGGCTCGATCGCTTTGCTAAAACCCCATGCGCAATGGAGAGTACGATTCGCTTCTGTCACTCACTATAATGATAAAGAAAAGGCGAAGATCGGCTATTCAGAGAAATATGAGGCCCCAAAAAAAGTAACAAAACTAGGGGTTGGACGAGAATGAAACGACAAAGGTTGCATGGAAGGGGTAATTGGACGAGATGTCCAAGTATGTTTGCCATTGCGTACACCTGGCTACAGTTTATAACCTGCAAACACTGCAACTTCTACAACACCCTAAGAACTCATCCACCGTTTGGGTGTATACTTCGGAAAGCCGGTTTACGGGGCCCTTATTATGCAATATCTGAGCAGTATTTTGACCCGAAAAAAATTCCCTGTGCTACCCTAGGAGGTCACAGATTCATGCTAGGGAGAAACCCCAGAAACAATTTTTGTCGTGGACTGTGCCTTTGAATGCTTTTTTCAAAGTTTGAGAGAAACATACCCAAGGAAATCCCATAAAATCGTATAATAAATTACACAGTAATTACGTCAGCCCCCAACACTGAACTAGGAATAGCAGAGGGACGGTAGGAAGTTATCCAAGACGTAGCGCCGAAAAGAAAAGCCATGCAGTAAAGTAGTAACCGTTCAAAGAGGAAACCACTCATTTTCCCGTTCGAACACCTTTCCTTAGCGTCACAGAACAACAATTTGGTTGTTGGCTTTTTAACAGCCCTCGGTTTCACTTAGATTTACTACTAGAACTTCGCTATTTATCACATCACATCATTTGAACAATGCAGATGACATCATTTTGGACTCTAAGCGTAGAAAAAACGAGATAGCACGTTAGCGTCTTCACTGACTTTTTGCTACTTATGTGAACGTCAGCCCTGCAAACGCGAAGAAGATTGTATAAGGTCATCGACCGTTTAATAACGGACAACAGCCTGAACCGTAAGGACTGCCAACTTTTGCAACTAGTCTTAATCACCGTTTTCGGAGAATCAGGAGACTCGATGGGATGTGCTTTCTCAAAATGTAGAGAAGTTGAAGTTTTTCTGCGTTGATCAACCGCATTCCACATCTATTTAGAGCCATGAGGCGCTCCGAATGTCTTCATCTTGAATTGCGGAGCGCAGCCCAAGTATAATTCAGTGCTTTTATCTTCCCAGTCAATTCTGATATCTAATAAGCACAGCGATGGACAAAGTCGTTAAATTTGGCTCAAAATCAAAAGAATCCATGGGAAAAGGAAAATCTCAGTAAATAACTGATATCAGCTGAGTTTCGTGTGTTTCGATCGATATCGAAGTGCTATAGTGGTTCATGGACAAAGGAGCGCAACCATTCAGTAGGTAACAAAATGGAGAGATTACGGTTGTTCCACCAAAAAACGTGATCAATGCGACCTTCAGAAAGAGAATTTCAAAAGCGCTTGATTAAAACCTTAAAGAGACATTTCTTGCACGAAGTGGCACGTAACAGCAGTAAATTGGAAAATAATGTCAGATTGTTAGACCGGCACGTAATGGAGGTAAGCTGCACGGAAAAGTCAGAATCTCACCACCCATGGTGACAGAGAATACCAATTAAGCACATTTACAAGTACAATGGTCATAGTTCCGGACCTTGCCAGCTTGTCAAATTTCGAACGGAATCGATCGAAAAAGAAGTAAATTGGGTCAGAGATCACATTTTTGGGTCTGTCCCTGAAGGTATAGGGTGCTATTTGACAAAAACAGAAACCGTACTTTCAGAGGTCACTCCTAGGGCAATGCTGAAGTAGAGGGGAACCGAAACCGCTTCAAATAGTAAATTGTAGCCAACTCCTGATCCCTCAAGTCCCACCTTCACCTCAACCTATCAGCCCACATCATGCTCAAACCCGTCTAGGCTTAGTTGTGGGCCAGAAAGCAAGAGCAGGCGGGAGGCCTTTCTGATAGTCTCCAGCTTCTCTTTTGAGGAAAACCTCAGCGTTTAAGAATAGGTTGACAGGATTGATACGAATTCAAGGGAAAGGGAAGGGAAACAACTCATTTCAACGCCCACCACTTGAAAGTCATCACTTCCTCTTGATGAAAAAAAAGATGGCGACCTCATCGAAATGTTAGGCCATTGAAGTGAATCGTTCCAGTCAAACCCCTGAGCGCGCAACAATTCCGGCTACGTTATTTAATACGCCGAACTCACAAAAGTAGAACAAGCCGGGTGTGGTGCAGTAGTAACGAATTTGTCGCGTCGCGGCGAGAGGGACGCCGCGCGCAAAGGAAAGTAGCAGAATGCAGCAGCAAGTGAGAAATTCAGGAACAGAAGAACTAACAGTAGAATCATGCCATAAGTAAAATCGCATCTTGATTGAGCTCTATGAAGAACGATGGAACTGTTATAACGAGGCAAATGGTCCGCGACAGCCGCGTGCGGCGGACCGATTACAAAAACCGTTCCTACTGGGAGTCTATTACTGACGTTTCCTAAAATATTCAGCCGTGACTGTTCTTGAACACCCTACTACTCTTAGCTAATGAAAAGACTGAATCCCCTACTCGGGAAAGGCTTCAAAATTTAGGAANAACTGAGGAATAGATCTTGCACAACACATTACACAACGCTCAGACTTACTCCATATCCATGAAAAACATATACTTGAGAACCTAAATTCTCTGTTAACCTAAATACGCCGTAGGTTACAGCTAACCAAAACTACAATACTCGAGTACTCACGGGTTGAACTGGAGGTTCAGTCGCACACTGTTTCTTCCACGAATCATTATGGATTGAAGAAGCTTTTCGAGTGAGCACAACCGGTGGAGGACACTCTCGTGGCTCTGAAAAGAAGCAGTATACAAGTAAGCAGGTGATCGGGAAGGAAGATCAAACTACACTTTTATATCAGCTTTTACAGCTTGACCATATAGCAATCGCAAAAAAAGCGGAATCAAGAAAAAGCAACATCGAGAGCGCTCAAGGGCGAGGATTTCAATCAATCAGCCAGGATAATTGGAAAATTCGAAAGAGAAGAGACAGGACCTCTCAGGAAGAAGTGTCTTGGAAACCGAAATGAATGCTATTCTGTATATATGCGTGGTGCAAAGAGAAACTAGAGTCCCCAAAGTCAATATCACTATTTCCGCACAGTTTCCTATCCTCTTTGGCAGGAAAGTTACAGTTAATTGCGTATAAAACGTTGCGTTTGAAACCAAACTGATAAGAAATTCTGGCAAAGGACTCGAAAATTGAATAAGCGATGATGCGATAAATCTCTCAGAATTGCTGATGGGGTTAGAAAAACGGACTGAAATTCGCAAAAATGTCGTCTTTAGTTTGGCCAGCTACATCAAGAACCATGCAACTCATGAAGATTTCAGAATATAAAGCACGGGCCCTGTCGCCGCAAACAACGACATTATGGGCATACCACAACGCACTTGCCAAAAGCATGGCGTATTCAGAGAATAACAAGAGTTCGAAAAAGCAGCAACAAGAAGGAGTACCATAGGCAAAAGGAAATAGTTGGAGCAACTCGTCAGACTTCGCCAACAATCGCGTCATGTTCTACTTACGCTTTGGAGTTAGCTCAGAGATCGAACTAATCGAACATCCGGATAAAATGAGAGCTAACAGCAAGCATACCCCCCCCCATGACTGCGCTATTACCAACCGTTCAGCATGTTACAGACAGTGAAAAACTTCCTAGCAAAGCCAAACGGTCCAATTTCCCCAACAAAATCGATACAGCGCAATTGATAAATACAATTTCAACGAGGGCAAATACTAAAGGCAAAGTATTCAATGACAATAAATCACTTGCAATAAGCCATTTTTTCGATTTAAATTCAAAAGTGCAGATTTCCAGCCAGGAATTGGGCTCTCTCAACCACTTGCAGAATGCCGACTACTGTGATTTATTTGCTCAACGAACTGAATCCATTCGTCATACTACTCAAAAAGGGCAAAGTCGAACGGCAAACTCGGAAGAATTCAAAAAAAAAAAGTCAAAAATAAAAACTGTCTCAAAAGTATACAGACAGACTGCAAAACGCAATATCTAGGAAACTGATTTTATGATGTTGTCTGTGAACGCTGTGGGAAGCACCCTACGAGACCGTCCCCTTCCAAAACCCTAACCCTTGGAACAAGACTTGATGAGGTTATAGCGATTTCCTCAATACAAATAATTCTAATATCACTAATCCAACAGTATAGCTTTCAAAAGGTACGAAATGGTGACTTTACCTTCAAACTAATTGGGTTGGAAGGCAGAATTCTCGCAATTTTAATGGCTCACTGCCTGTTTCTTTACATTTGCGGTGGACTGGTAGAGCCAACCCCATATAATCTTGATTTTAGTTTCAAAATTTGAAATTGAAAAAGTATTAAAAGTGGTGAACCAGTAAAATTTGTCCGAGAACAATAGAATTCCAATGACACCGGGCTGATGTATACTTAAATAGAACTGATTCAAAGAAATGCAAGGATCCAGGAAGACTGTAACAACAAAGTAAACAACGAACAATAAACCTCAAGGTTGGGTAGCCCTTCCAGGTTTCGTTTTGAAGTGACACACTGCAGACCATCCATTACAGAAAAAAATGATCATTTCATACTTACTCGATGGATTCTCCTCGTTGACAGATGGGTCGGAACTGCTCATGTTTCGATCCAGTGTGGGAGCCGAGGCGGCAGTGTCACTTAGACCGATTTGTGGAAGAAATACCTAAAAAAAANAAAAAAAAGCAAATGATCACAGAAAGGCGACAAATTATACAAAATCAAACTCATAACCGTCTAAATCAATAAATTTTGAAAACGAGCTGATATATGGAAATTCTGATAAAAGGCATTGAAAATTCTAGACAAACAAAACACATTTGCAAGTCGGAATTTGACGACCATGGCATGCTTCGTATATCAATCTGATCGATTTCGGATCAAGATCAAATCAAATAAAAGACGTTCACTTCACGCTGTACCGATATTAACCCCTCCGTGTACATGATCGTTTTTAGCGACCGATATCTACCCCATAGTGCTATAAATAACGCCCACTTTCTTCTAAGGTGATTATGTAAAAAATGACAGCTAACACCAAAAATGATGGATTTTTGCCGAAGAACAGCAGATGTCGAAAAGCAAAGGTGCCATGACTACTGAATTCTCATCAGCTACTGCCCACAATGCCCTCCATCAAGGGAAAGCGACTGAATCATCACTTTGACAACGTGTCATTATGGGTCCTCGATAAACGATTGTGCCCTCCCCCCACAATATATAGGTATAGTGAACACAGCTCAGACCCAGGGGCTTCACAGAACACATCTCTACCCTCCTTTGACATTCTCCGCCTCTCCTACGTCTACACTATCTCATCATGTCATTTTGCAGCCAGCGCCCGCTTGCTGAGTATAGCCGTAGCCTTGCAAAGGCAAGCTTGCTACAGATGGGTGAACGGATAGGGGGCAGAATACCTAAGTGTTTCTAATGTAAACCTCTATTAGACAACGATAGGAGGTGATTATAATCAGAAGCGTTAGTGGCACAGGACTTATCTTCTCTACTATTTGGCTTCCAGCATAGGCTAACACCCATGGTTTAGCATAACAATTAAAGAAGGGACCTCAATTCTCCTCCAAGGAAAAGTCCATTGTTCTCAAAATAGTTTAGTACCTGTCATATCACTTTTGGAATTGGAGCAAAGCAGAGGTCTTCTCAGAAAACTGTTAAGGAACACAAGGCGGCATGAAATCCAATTTGCACTTTTGTGTTGACACGTGGTCCTGACACGATTGCCTTTACCGTAGTGCTAGCTTGCGAAGTGAAATCCCAGGGCTGTTGTTGTTCATCGAAGGAACTCTCATTCTTCGTTTTCTTTATCCATTTGCAGATTCATAACGAAAGATGTTGGGAATGAGTAGGAGGGAGTTACATAACTTCGCGATTTCTCAGTTTTAGTCTCACTGTCAATTCCGTTCTATACTAGTTGTTTCGTCCACTTGAATCTTTCCTACCTCGGTTAAAGGGGAAAAATCTCCGTTCCTTTCGACGCGTCACATTTCACTTTCACACTATTTTTGAAGGATTTAGTCGTCGTCCCATCTGCTGCTGCGCTCTAGCCCCTGACGTTATGGACGCAGACGAGAAAGGTATCTCACTTCAAGGACTTTCAGGGAAAGCATGCATTATGATGCTCATCGCTCGGTTCCTTAGACAACCGACAAAGCGAGACCACGCCCAAATCTGCTTTCTTGGGCTCTCTCCAGGTGTTTTCAGGTTACTGGCAAGTATGAATCATTGTTTACGAACTGACTGTTGATTATTTACGGTTTCTCTTAACATTACTTTGTGATTGCTTCAGGAAATGTTTCGTAATTGCAGATAATAAAACCCTAGTTCAAGCCATCTATCTTGCAGAGAGCGCAGACTAAAAGTGCCGTGACCTCTCCTCCGGGCGTTGGCGTCTGTTGACTAGCACCCTCAAGGCCTATTGGTAAAACAATTATCCGTTACGTCAGGTTAGAAAGAACTACTCAAATATTGCTTCAAATCCAACCAGCCCACTGCAATACCCTGAATGGAAGGCTCAGTGACGACCTAGCCCTGCAACCTCATTTGTGGGCTCAAGTTGAGGGCCCATCATTGCTGGGGAGCCCCAAAACCAGCTGAAGGGGATGCTAGCTTTACCAAATTGTTCCCTTACTGGACAGGATACAAAGAAAAGATTAAGTGGAACGCGAATAGCGAAGGAAGCACCAATCGACTGGTTTCACTGTTACACCCGGATGATAACCAGTTCAGAAGATTCAAATAGGAAAACATTAATTAAAATGCCTACTAATTGATTATGAACTTTTCAATGAACTGTGACCGCAGGAAGTGCTTATCTGAAGGTAAAATTTGCAGAAAAAGACAAGAACCCCACTTGACTTTGACATCTGTTCGATACGACGGAACTGGCACGGACAACATCGCGAGATCGTTGTGACCGCATATGCACTTCCTAGGATTCAACAATTTTCTCACAAATGGNACTTACGAAAAACCCTCGTTACTGCTTTCCAAAGCCAAAGTAGTGTGGTCAGAAGAAAAATGTAAACAGCCGTGATGATTGTCAAAGAAGCAGCAAAGTGCTTCGATAAATTTCGTCGAATTGTTGTAGGAAATATGATGAGGTGAGCGCGCGTTTAACGCTACAAGCGCGACGACTAACGTCAGCCCTGAGACACCCCCATCTTATTCATCCCGCGCTGGCTCGCTCGCGCTTCTCAGTTCAGAACAGCACGGAAGAGAGCGCCTGAAACGACTGGGCACTGATGCTCAACGAATGACTAATGCCAAGTGAGAAAGGGCAGAATTACCCCCTATGCCGATCTCATTGTATTTAATTGCGATTGCATTCAGTCACCATCATGATCGTAGCGTTTCACACTTTCAGCCTTGATAATGTGATTCCTATTGATTGTCTCAACCGCTCAACAAGGAGCTTATAAATGAAACAGAAAGCGTGGATGGGGTGGATGGGGTGGCTAAGGGTGAAAATGGAATTGCTCGAGCAGTACAACTAAACCACTTTCCATTCTACATTTGAACTTCAGCATCTGACGGCACAGGAATCGGGCAGTATACAAATCAAACAGTGGGTTCACCATTCTTATAAGGAGCAGGTGACCTGTTGAAAGGTTATGACCTTTCAATGCCCTTCCCGAGCGAATGTGGAAAAAGATAGAGTAGATACAGTATAACCTCAAAAGTCGCTAAACCATGAGATATCAAAGGAGACTAAGCGGCTCCTTCCGCTCTAATTAGTGAATTACCAGTTGTGGGTTTTGTAGGTCGAGTTTCATCGTAAACCAGTGTGAGGCAGGTGCTTCCCATTAACTTGACATGGATCGTTGCTACATTTTCACTATTTCACGGATAAAACGGGGCTCAAAAAGATGAAAGTGAGGGTGATAAGACCTCGATGCGGCGGAGCGTGATTAACTGCAACCGTTTTTGGAACCTTGACACATCTATTGCAGGGCAGGCTTACCTAAGGAAAAAGGGGAGAGAGGTAGCCTGGTTGTGGGCACTTCTAACCCTGTTTAATTCTTTCTAGAAAGCTTCGTTAAGCATCAGACAATATGCAATCGGACACCCTACAATGCAAGCCTCTTACAAAAAGAAAATCCAATTATTTCGAGAATCATTCCTGAGACAATGAACCAATACATTTAACTTACAATCTTCTATCGATTCCAGAGCCCATAAGGGAGACAAAATCGTTATCGAGCAAATAAAATGGTAAAATGGAACTATCGAATAAACTACTTACAGTAGTCCTCGTCAGTTGAAGAAATCCGCTGGTCAGAAGCTCGAGGTAATTCCAAATCTTCAGTCAAACTGTTTACGGCCTCTTCAATTCGGCGTATCTCCTCTTGTTGAACAGATTCTATATCGACCATATCCAAGGTACGGTCCTCCTAAAACCATGATCTTCGCTATAAACAAAAGTCAATACTAAACTATAGAAGTAGATCTTGAAGATGAAAACGTGATCAAAGCAAAATACCTCGGCAACAAGTGTTCGCTCTAATGGTTCAATTTTCTCGCACCTATCCTCTTCAGTGGTGCCGTTCAGCGGGAACTCCACATTACCGCTTATATTGCCAGAATCATTCCCATCCATTTTTTTGAACGATAGACCATTTTGAATGGAAGCACGGTCATACTTAAACGATTCCGATTAGCTTACAGAAAAATTAAACTTACAAAGGAAATTCTGACAGTCACCCACGTGGTTTTCTTTGTTGCACAACGTATCCTCGGCAGAAAACGATCGCTGATGAGCATTAATTGCCTTGATGTCTTCTGGAATTCGAGAAATAGAAAGTACCCGGAAAAGGGAGAACTTAGCGGTAGATACAGTAACCTACCTAACGAATGCTTTCTCCAACTTATAGAGGCAATCATCGGATCAGATCCATGTGTGACTGCTGAATTGTCGTGATCATCACCAGCCATTGGATCAAAGGAAGCGTACGAGTGTGTGCCATCGTCGACTTCTGCGATGGAATCTCGTGAAAAACACCCAGACACCATATCCAACAGCTGGTGTACGAAATACACTACTTTCGACGCCACTGTCACCGTTGAATATCGAGATGGTAGACGTTCCGTTTCATAAAAATTTCAGCTATGCCCGAATTGATGATGCATGTCCTCCCGTGAGCTCAGTCATCAGTTTGACTTCGCATTCAAACGTGAAATTATCAAAATTCTTCATCAGATGCTGCCATTAAATTTTGCGCATTACATGGCAAATGAAAAAAGTGCGAGGAACTTCAGTCAGGTTTCTAAACTGCCTTTGCTACAAGCCTTAGAATTCAGACAGGAGAAAAGTGGGTCCAGGGCGATTTTCACACATAATGCTTATCGTCTCAGTTCAGCCCGATTAAGTGAATCTCAACCCACTGCGCTTCTCAAACTCAAGCCTTTTCACTCAAATTTAGGGAAAGATCAGAAACTACACACAATCCGTTCACATCACATTTTATATCTTTTAAACCGATATTAGAAAAAAGGAAAGGAAAAAGAAATACACAATGCTCACCGTCACCGATCAAGTTCAACGAATGTGTAGATGTGAATCCTGGAGGTATACGACTATCGCGAGCACTGTCGACGACGTCGGTGGGGATACTTGTTGCCAGTGTTTCGGACATTATGCGATTAGGATTGGTTGTGGATAATGAGCATTCTAAACACAATCAAGTCATCAAATGAAAAAAGGGTGTCCAAAATACAATTCCAAGCAATACGCAATACAAATGCGTAAATAGCTCCAGCTCTCAACCATTTAAAAACATGCGCTTTTATATTTCTTTTTCTCGGAAAGGCATTCGATCATCGATAGTCTGCGGTAACTGAAGTGACGACATCGGTCATCATGAATAGCTAAGCAGGGCTCACGTCATAGAAATGATGAGTGGAAAACGGACATGGGGAACTTTGGAGACTTAATAAAAAAAATAAAAAAGATCAAATCATAAATTTAGGGAGAAGAAGAAAAGCTAACCATTCACGCACATATGACTTAATTATAACTAAAGAAACATGCCACTTTGAAGCAACCTTGCCTAAAATGGCATGCCATAAATGTTCCTCCAATGCATTCAAAAATTACT